TGCCAACTGGATTGAATCACCAGTGGGCATTCGATACTAGCTAAATTCCACACAATCATTGCATACCAGGATCAAGAGGTGACCAGTTCTTTGCAATGAAATTCTTGAAATGGATGCTGCCAACTTGCCGCACAGCCATGTCACAATTGCTGTCCACTATAATTTGCAACATTCTCACCAAATGCTGTGGTGTATACTGAAACTGCAATACACAAAACCCCAATATTAACAACTCCATCGAAGAAAATACAGCAGTAAATTTAAAAAATAAAATAAAATAAATCCTTAACTATCCACTTCAGTTGCAAAAATACTTTCGAGACCTTCTCCCATTGCAAAGTAAAAAGGTGTTTATCTAAATAGTGGAATTGAAGTGTTTTTTGTCTAAAACGTAATCTTATAAAACAGAAAAATAAATAAATAAATGGTTTCTCATCAACTAACCTCTGGTAGTATGAACATATGCATTAATTACGTGTGGGATTTTGTTTTCTTCCCAATCAAGAAGTCAATATACAGCTCAAAACCAAATATAAATCCGAAATAAATAGTTCTCTCTAATAATTTCTCAGAACCAATTCTCCTCACTGCTCAAAAGCAAGTAAAGGTATCGAATTGCAAAATCAAGTTCAATTCTCATCACAAAAATTCCCAACTTTGCATCAAATTACACCCAATTAATCGAAAAATGGCGAACAGCTTCAGTACAAGGCAATACTCAAGGAATTTAAGCCAACCAAATGGTGTATATACCTGATTGAGGCTCTGCTCGGCGGCTTTCCGCTCATCGGGATTGGTACTGAGAGCAGCCTGTAGTATTACAGCGAGGCTGGGAAGATCCATAGCTGACGATTGGAGCACCAATTCGGATCAAAACTCGACGATCAGAAATTGATGCGAATCAATCCAAAACCCTCGAGGGGAAAAGGCATATGATATGCGAACGGGAATGGGGAGAGAAAGTGTTGACGACTTACTAGGGTTTAGACAGACTCGAGGAGAGAGATAGCTACGGAGTGTGCTGCTATTTAAACCACTAGGGTTCTTGCGGTTGTTGAACTCACGTACCAATATATGAAATCCGTACACTCATTTTTATTTCTTACGCAACTCTTTTAATTTTCGATCGTCGAATCAAATAAATTAAAGAAGATTAATAGTAGAAAATTAACAAAAATGTATTAAAAAATAAAAATAGATGTGTAAGTAACAAAAGTGGTTTTTTGTTAAAATAAACAATACCGAAAACTTTTCGTTAAAATTGCCAATACTATTTGATTTAGATGTAGTGGTTATTTTGGGTTGGAAATGATAGGTGAAAATACAAAAGTGACGAGTTTTATTTTCGAATTTTATGATTTGACGAGTTGAATATTAATTTATTTTCACATTTTTTAGTGTAAATATATCTATGTATGAAAAAAGGTTATTGACACTCGTTTAGGCAATTTGATCTTGCTTTTTATATAAATAGCTTTTAATATATCTTGAGAATAATCTGTTGTAAATTTGTAATTTTTAACAGCGTTATGAGCAGGAAAAGCAATGTCACAACTGCAATATCCCATCTCGAAATTTTTTATTTATTTATTTTACAGTTTTGGAACAAACGATTTGAATAGTGATTTGGTCATTTTAAATTTCACTTTGGTGTTTGGAGATGAGTTTAGAATGGGTGGATAGAGCCCGATCCCAATCTTACAAGCGTTAGGCGAAGAAGTTACGAGCATTGGGAGTGGCGGACGAAGAAGTTACGAGCATTGAAAGTGACAGACGTTTTGGTATTTTGGACTTACTACAAGTAGTAACTTTCTGTTTTTGGAAACTTGCTAAAATAAAAAACTTCCTAATTTCAGAAAATTCACCCAGAGCCACCGACATGTGGGTGGGAAGCCATGACCCGTTCCCTTTGCGATTTCTGACTCAAATTCTGGCCATATTCAACATAATTGGTTGACACCACTACTACCAAATTGAAGCTTTCACTCCCCCTACAAGGCCCACCCAAGAATCACCTTAATAAACCACCACACGTGACGGTGCGAGGGCGTGAAGTTCTAATGTTTCTAACCATTCTGGTGGCTCTTATCCATTGGTCGGCAAATCTACACAGCAACGACCGACGCCACCTCTCGGATTTGGGTCTTGTAGCCCTCCATCCCTGGAGTAAAACCAAACCAACCCAGGCCTTATTAGACCATTGTAGGCGGTGACTCAACACCGTGAAATTTATTGCACATGCGACTTTTATTGGTAAAATTGGACGTCTTCCGTCTACTTTTGGACTTCGTCGCAGGTATAAAAGTACGATTATTTGATTTTTGGGATAATTATACAACTTTACGATTTTTGAAATTAACGACAATCCGACCGTTAGATTGTTGTACAATTTTGTGATCCTGCTATTTATTAATATTCAAACATTTGAGAACTTGTGGATTAGAAACCTGACATTCGAATCTTCTGGATTCGATAATCTTCAATTGTTGACTCTAACAGGGCCTACTTTGAGCGACGGTTGACTTTTTTTGTGTGTTGTAGAGGCTTGATGGAGCTTAGCTGGTTCATCACAATGATGTATTGTCCTCGATTAACGTGCATCTCGAGCATTATGACTATGACTCATTTTGCGTGTCAATTTTGATAAGATTCCTAAGTGAAGTGTTGTGTACAATATTACGTTCTACCAGAGTATTGTTGACTCACTTAGGATATGAGATGTCTCAGTGACATGCACATGGTTTTGCGTGCACATTAGTTTGCATGACGCTTTTGTAGTGGTTATTCTGGAAGTGCGCAAGACTCGAGGTGAATGGACTTTAATATTCTATGATAAACTATTTTGCATATGAAAGGTTCCTTTGTTATATACTTTGTGTGTATAGCATGGGTTTACAAATGTGTTATTACCGAGTTGTCAATCTGCTTTGAGAAATGATATATATGTATGTTTGAAATGATTGCAAACTGAGAGGGCTCGCAGATAACTATTGTGGTTGTATACTTTCTTTCTAGCTGCATGTGTAGGTTTGGAACCCTAGATTTATGTTATCAGATTGCCATGAGAAAGTCTAGGACAAAAAACTATGCTCGTATTGCCATGAAAATTGTTGGAATGCAATATCTATATATTTATGTTATCAGATTGCCACGAGAAAGTATGAAATCCAATGTCTATATATTTCCGTTATCTGATTCTGTATGTGCATCGGGAATGAGGAATGTTGCACCTTTTTTGTCATTTTTCATTAAAACTTGTTGATGCACAAAACCGGAGGGGTCTTCGAACAACGTAAATCTGACCGTGAATCTGCAAAAAAGTAAAGAACACAAGATGTATCGTGATTCACCCCAATGTTTGGGCTACGTCCACACTGATGTTGATATTGTTTCACTCTGAATGGTGAACATACAAGAAAGCTAGAGGCATTGTGCTCTCTAACCTATTTTCTCTCTTCCCATGGTCTGAAACTTGACCTCCCCTAATGAGGAGAGTGAGGAGTCATTTTATAGAATAAGGGCTCATCACTTATTACATATTTGCCCCTTCATTTATTACATAATTACATTTGAATCTCCCGAGTATTTATACGAGATCTAAATACGGAGGCCCTAAGTATTATACAAACAACACTAAAAATTTTGAGAACTTTTCGTTAGTTTTCCTGTGTTTTCTTTTGTGATAACTTGGTATTTTAGATCAACCATATGACTATTTGAATCTGTTGATGTTGATTTAGTTAAAGCACTCTAATTAGGATTAAATTTGAAAGTGCATGTATTTAGTGATTTGCTTATACATCTGAAATAGGAGTTGACCACGGTGGTGAACTTTTGTGTTAATAACTCGTTGATTGATAAATATGGTTGAATGTTATACGTATATAAGATGGAATTCACGTCATGCATTGCAATTATGAGAGGCATGAGTCGTGTGAGTTACATGGGGTTGCATCGTGATGGATTGGTGTATTGGAAAGATTGGATCCAATTTTCTTAGAGGACAAGGTTTTCGGTAAGCTGATCGTCTGTAAAGACAATCTTCATGTGAGGGACGACTTGGCGACCGAGAGATCAGAATTGTGATTTGAAAGAGCAATAGCAAGTGAGCGAACGTGCCATGGGTGGTAATTCATATAACAAGACACTCGAGGCCAAGACATGGTATGAGACGTGAGAGTGTTGTGTGCTTTGGTGTGTGGATTAACAAGAATAGAGGCGGGAATGAGAGAACATTCATGCATAAAGAAACAGAAATAGAGATAGAGAAATGACGGCCTTCCCTGCCCCCACTAAATGTAAATGGTAGTGTGAGGAGGTACACTTTTAGCATTAGATGCGGCGTCGTGGAATCTTGTACCTCCTTGCACTACTCGTTTTAGTAGCTGTGGTTGGCTATTTCCCTTAGGGTAGGCCTTTCTGTAAAACTTTGGCATCTTTGCCCGGATAATGATATATCTCGTCTACCAAAAAAAAAGAAACATAAAAAGAGAAATTTGCCGCACCCATCATATTCCGTCTTAATTTTCTGTTTAAAAGTTGTAAAAGTACTCTAAACTGTTATTAGAAAATATAATTTTAAAGCCCCTCTCCCCTCCCTCGGTCCCGCACTGCCCCAGCCCTCAGCCGTGATCAAACCACTGCCAGCCCCCTTCCTCGAGCTATCATTCCGATACAAATTGTAATATTCGACACATGATCAATGGGAATGTCTTTATTTTACCACAGAAGAGCATAAGATGGTTTATTTGCATAAAAGCATATCAGTATGGTACACTGAAACGCTGTCGGAAACATGACTGATTAGTAAGCAGATATACGGACAATCTGAACGTTAGTAGCCTTCTAACGAGCAGGAAAATTTAAAGAAAAACTAATGAAAATAGCTTGAAAATTTTAAGTTTTAACGATAAAGACAAAATAAATGGTAAGGTAAATAGTACCAGGATTGACTTTTTAGTATAAAAATATGATTTTTTGTTAAAGTGAACAGTACCGAATGCTTTTCGTTAAAGTTTCCAAAATTTAATTGGTAACAGTGGACGAATCATTGTTCCCGTTATACAATGTTCTTACAAAGCTCAAAATTTATTTTAACATGCATTTTACTACATTGATGATTCCATAAGAGGCAAACAATCAATAAATTGAGTATAACAGCTTATTTATTTGCTTATGTACACAGAGGAAAGCACACCCGAAGTCCCGCTTTAGCTCACCATTCGCCGCTCAAGCACAAAATTATAAACTCCTACTCCATCTGACCTGCTAGAGCTGCATTTTCATCATCAGGATCTAGCTCTTCCTCTACACTTTTGACCTACAAATGCAGACATCTATGTCAAATAAACACAAATAAAATGGTCATATTTTGTCAGCATCTATTCAGAAAGAGCATCAGAGAGAGAATCACTTTATGGTCTCACTCCTCTAATAAACAATACAAATTTTAGAAAGATTTTGGAAGAACTTGTCACTCGGTTTTCTTATAGTTCTTGTGCTCGTTAAGAAGTGGAAAAAAGTACAAAAACTCTATCCTTATCATATTATATTCAAAAAGCTGCAGTTATACTGATATAGAGGTCTTAACATGTACTGAATTTCATCCATACATGTCAAAGTTAGATTGCCTCCACACCCCAAATTCGGTATGTACCAAACTTCTTTGAGAATAATAGGCCATGAAGAAAATGGCTTTGTAAATTAAATCAATGAAATTGATAATCTAGTAAAGGCAGGGATCATAAGTGAAGCTTTGAGGACTGAAGGAGGTTATCTTAAGACGAGTACCAAAAGAAAAAGTTTCTTGAACAATAAAACCTAACTATAAATGAATCAAAATGATGCCATGAAACTGTTTAATACGATATAAAGTGGTACTGGAAACAACCTGACTAATTAATTGCAGGACTGGCAGTATTTTCAACAAGATTCATCTTTCAACTCTTGTTTACCGTGTTTTCATATAGGAGGATCTACTAATCATAATTTTGTAATCTATTCCACTGCTTCTTGGTCTTCTTCTACAACAATCGTCTGGAGACTTTAATTTCAGGGGAAATTTGAACGACAGAATTTTCATATCTTTTGCCCTGTGTTCAAAATGCGTCTTATAATTCTAATAGGTCCAACAAGTCTTCTTGTACTAAGGTCTCCTAGAATTTTTCTTATAGATCTTTTCTTCATTCCCCGTTAGAAACTAAATTTGGTTGAAGACTGGTGCTACTTTTTCGGTCATCGAAATTTTCTAGTTTTTATTAATGGAAAGAAACAACAGAATTTCAAAGATAACAGGGATAGGAGAGGAGAAATTTTGTGTTTTAGAAGACTTGTCTGTTAATTATTTTAGGGTCTACATTCCCTCTAACGGGTGATTAATCATGTACCATCATTTATCATACAGACAGATTCAAAGACAAAGAAATATATACATTCTTGAAAATGCAAGAAAATGGTTGGCATTTGTTACCTCAGGTACATAGTGCATGAGCATATTCTCAATTCCAGATTTCAGGGTGACTGATGAGCTTGGGCAGCCACTACACGCTCCTTGCATTCTCAATTTCACTGTTCCAGTTTCTCTAAACACAATTTACAAAAAGTTAAAAAAAATACACACAAAAAAAAAAAAAAAAAAAAAAAGAGAGAAGCCACGCACCCAGAAATAAAAACAAAAACGAAAACGACAAAATGAAAAGAATTCAGGCATTTTCCAATATTAAAATTAAAAACAGTATATCAAATGAAGGAGAACAACTTACGGATCAAATCCCCTATACTCAATGTCCCCACCATCATCTTGCACTGCTGGTCGGATGCGAGTCTCCAACAATTCTTTTATCATTGCAACGATTTCTGAATCATCCTGCAAAGCAACCACCAAAATAGTTATATCTCAGATTTATGCACAAAAGAAATTAATAACATAACCAAAATTCCTTTTCTCATTTCTGCTCTTTCATACTGACACATGACTCTGTTCATCAGAGCCACATCCCAGTAAATAACAGAATATCACATCACTGTACAGACTTTAATGAATCATCTTGCATGTCCATTATAGCCTAGTAATGATAACCCATAACAATAACCAAAGAGTATCATCTGTAAACTCAAGCACGGATGATTGCTTGCCAAAGCAATCCCACATCTCTCAAGCATACAAAAAACACCTACGAAGAAATACAAAAATACAATCCAGAAGAGACCCCCTTGTGGAGCTAGTAAGGCAGCATTGGTAGTTAATAGGAAGCAACCACTCACACACAAACACAATTTTGAAAGGCAGCCATAATGATGAACTCAGACACCAAAAAGAATCAAATGCTGCATAAGTGCAAGTTTTGTCACTGTAGTTGAAAGTAATTTCTGTTTCCTTCTAACTCTAAAGCGCTGCACATTCTTTAAGGGTTTCTTTTTCTAATAGATAAGTTATCCTGCTCCTCGAAATATTTGAGATTCTTTTAGGATCTGTAAACTTGGCAGTACCATAGCACTAAAATAGGCAACGGGTAGCAGAATCAATAACAATTGAGGAATGATTGGCTACAAGCAGTGTTGGTGGGTTTGCTAAAGTAGTAAATCCTGCTTCAGACTTCAGAGATTACATTCTTAGTATTTAATACAAGAGATGCTGTAAAATAAAAGAGATTTAATATGAAGCTGCACAAACTTCTAACTGTAAGATTATCAAAACACTGATAATGGTTACAAAGTGAAACCACAACATTAGTTACTTGTGACAGTGCCTCAAACAAAAGACACAACACAAGGTTCCTCTTTGATGCTCCCCAATGTCTATTACACACTCGTCCTAATAAGACTTCACAAAAGACTGATTCTATACCTTGATCAACACCTAGGAGTTTCCTACACCAGATGGTATACTCCCACAGTCCCACTTGGGGTGACTTAATACTAGCATATCCAGTCTATGAAAGTACAATCTAATTATAACAAAATGCTAGTTAATTACTAAAGAAAAATGAAAATATCTTCAAAGTGATGGTAAAACATTGATCTAATCGTTCTGTTTACATGTTGGCCCCAAAACTTAAAAAGTTCACAGAGAGAAATTTGATGACATACTTCTTGAATAGCCGTGTCCATTGCTGATGCAGCTTTTTCGTCTAGAAAGAGTGGCTGCCCAGAAGAATAAAAATCCATGATTGCTGCAAAGATTTCAGGCTTCAATAGATCCCAAGAAGTATCTTCAGATTTTGTTACAGTAACGAAATCTGATCCATAAAACACTCGAGTGACTCCTGTATTAGGATCCCAGGTTAGATTTATTACTTCGTCAAACAAAATATTACTAAGCAACTAAATGTTTAGAATAAAAGAAGAAGTAAAAGATAAATTAAACCTGAAATAACAAAGTTCAATGAGTGGAAGAAAACTAGTAAGTAATAAAGTCCGCAGCAACTGGATAAAATTGTAAAAATGATGACTGTTCTAATTTCAAAGGATTCAGACAGAATCTACCAACACTCAATCCAATGGAAGGGTGGGTGGGGGTTGGGGTGGGGAGAAGTCAAATAGTGCCAAGTTTGCCCACATAGCAATTAAACCATATTTTGAAAGAGTATTTATGGCACATTTGAGAGTTACTTAGTCTATAACCTCCATTTCACGATTCTAGCCTGCACTGAAAACTGTTTTTTTTTTCCTATCCACATGTTCTCATGAATCATAAACAAGCTAAAACCACAATAATATTCATTCACTATTCAGAGAAAAAATAAATCTTACACAACAAAAGTAGAAAACTAAAGGCTCAGTCATAGATAACCAAAAAAAATGATTGCCATCCTTGAAGGCAATCCAAAACCAAAAATCAAGTGTTACATTTTTATAAGCACTACTCTTAAATACACAAACATGCAGGCAATCATTCTCATGAAAACAAAGAAATAGGATGACTATGCATACTTGTAAAGTAATGGCAACAACAATCTTACCATCAATTCCATAAAGGGCTTTGGCAAGTGGTGAATTCATGGCCGAACGAGCATTCGGGAAGTCTGCACTGCCAACTTCCATAACGGGCTTCCCAGGATAAAACATTAGAGATGCAGGGTTAGGTGTGGATTGAGTTTGGATAAACATGCTTCTCTTCTGCCCTGTGAAAAAACAGCAACTTAATGTAATTTAAACACTAAACATAAATCTGAAACTACTACTACTTTTTGTTGATGTTAATTAGGTAAAAAATTATGCAAGTGGCCCTTTACCACATTGATGGAAAGGTGTTGAGCACTTGCATGTCGGCGTGGGTTAAAACCCCGTTGGTGGCTAATCTAACATCTAATCTAACAAAATCTACTGTTCGAAAAAAAAAATTAGGTAAAATTTATGAATGACACAAAATTATGAGTAATCGTGGGTAAATGGCAGATTGGAATAGTAAAAATAACAAAGCTATAATCGTTTCATTTCCTTCATTTTCCAAGCGATTCGATAAAGGGTAAAAAAAAAGTGAATTAAAAATCGGAATTTCAATTGAAAATTGTAACATATAGGAAACTAACCGCCGAGAATGCCCCATTTCAGAGAATTGAAAGGAGATGCGTCGGAAAAGGGGGAGTTGTTGTGAGCCAGGTACGACGTCGTGGGAGCTGAATAAGCAGATAGGAAATAGGTTCGGCGAGAGATGAACTGGGTGCCATTGCGATGCCGAGGAGGTTGGCATCTTCTGTGAGACGAAAGACTTCGTCCAAGCAATCTTCGTAGCCCTCTCATCCCCGCAAGCTCTCTCTACCTCTTCGGTTATGGAGTTGAAGAACAATTCTCAGTAAGATGTATCAGACTAACGGAATTTGGGGCCAATTTGGGATTCTAGGGTTTCAACTTTCAATTGATTAGGGGATGATGAGACCCAATTACTATTAGAACGCTTTACGAAGCCCAAGCTGAGGCCCAATTGTGGTACTCCGTATCTTACCGTATTTCCTTCGTATTTCTTATGTATTTCGTTAGTCTTTTCCGAGCTATACAAATATTTTTTTTTTAGAGGCTAAAGTCCTTCTGCGAGTCTTTCTGGCTCTCAAAATTGGTTATTAATGAATTGTCATTCAGTATTACGGTCTAGTGGTATTCCTTTTTACTTAGAAGTGAGAGGTCTTAGGTTCGAATCTCATGGATGACAAATTCGATACCAAATTAGGGTCCATTGTTTGGCTTAGCCGAACTTCCCGTTCCTAGTGTAAAAATATCGATACAACAACAACAACAACAACAAAGCCTTTTCCCACTAAGTGGGGTCAGCTATGTAAAAAATATCGATATACTAAAAATATAAAAAAATAAAAAAAAATTATATATATGGTTATTAATGAATTTAAATATATTTCCTTTCTCTTTGTATTTTCTTTTCTCTCTTCTTCTCTTTGAATGGACAGATACTATCATTCTGATGCCAGAGCCAGTACAATGGGGACACCGGTGTAGTCGTTGGCGTCGGCAAATGCCACCACCGTGGTGGCTACCGAAATCAAAATCCCGCCACTTCCAAGCCGGCCGCCGTACTCCTTTACACCACCAACCCACTATTCCGATAATCCTTGAGCAAATCCTTCACCAACTGGCCAAGGTTGTTCCCCTATTTGAGCAACTATGGTACCACATATGTAATCGTAGTACTCCCTATTTTATCCAAATATCAATCTCCTATGAGATATTTCAAACCGACTTTGCAGACGATGGAAGGTCACTTGTCTTTGTTAGAATTTATATGTCCCACATCGGTAGAAGACTTGAAAACAAACTCTTAAAGTATAATTACATCACTTTAATTAATACAAATGCCTTTTGTATTAAAACTTCACACCTGACGGATTAAGCAGGTGGCCAAGTGAGGACAATATCGGTGTTATTAGAGTTGATCCATGACATGTCTACTTGAAATTTAAGATGATATCAGAACCAAGGAACGGGCCCATACATCCACGTGAACGGGTGGGTCCCCTTTGACCCCAAGCAAGCGGGTGAGCCCCGACTTGCATTTATAGAGTATAATACCTACGTAGCATTCTCATTTCAAGAATTTCATCACGAAGTTATGAAGTTGCATCTTAATTCAGGAACATCTCATATGCAACGAGATCTGCAAAATTGACACTATTGTCTCCCCAATGTAACCCACCAAAATTGTCCATAATGTTGAACAACTCTATTTCTCTAAATCAATATGTAATGATTAGTATCCAATTCATAATAAATGAACTACAGAACTAGTTTAAGAAGAATAATAAAAGGGAACTTTAACTAAAAGCTCCCGGTAATGTTCATTTTAATGAAAAATAACATTTTTACACTGAAAAGTCAATCTTGGTACTATTTACTTTACCTTTTATTTTGTCCTTATTGTTAAAACTCAAAGTTTTCAAACCGTTTTCATTAGTTTTCCTTAATAAAATTCTTGTTATTCCAATCAACTATGCCCTCAAATGAGCTCTTAACCTATTTAACTTAATATATTATTTACAACCGAGTGCTCTTATACCATTCCGTCGTACTTCAATTCGAAACCATAAAACTGCTTCTCAAATTAAAGGTTTAAATCATAAGATTTCTTCCTAACCCAAAAGTGATGTTCAAAATCTTGTCCATCTGATGCCTTCTTTTTCTCATCTCCATCTGAAAAACCACAACTGCCAACACGAGAGAGGATCCTCACCGGATCCTCTTTGTGAGGATTCCGAGGATCTTCCAATAACATTCGTTCATCGTACATCGTACGATCAGTTTTTGTTAGGTATTGTTTACATTCAATTTTAAACAAAAAAATTTACAATGATTTATGACTGCACAATGTACGATGAACGGATGTGATTGGAAGATCTCCAGGATCCTCACAAAGAGGATCCCGTGAGGATTCTCCTGGCTGCCAACACCACCAAGACCTAGACTTCCACCTATTTGAAGCTAGAACTATGTCACCTGCTTGTACACCTCCGACAAATCCCCATAGATTGCTCACAAGCTCCTCAGTTCTATATATAATGATGAATTGAATGACCTCCAATTTGATACAATGAGAAGAGAACATGTTGTGTTCTCTGTTTTCACGCCATAAGTCTTGAATAACTAGTTACACAAAAAAAAAAAAAAAACAATTAATCAAACAAATAATCAAATATTAATACTAGTATAAGAATTTAGGTTTTTACATCCTCACATGTAGCTGGAAGGGAGGCCGTAGGCCATACAGGTCATACCATTATGTTATGTTGTATGATACAAATCAATCTCCGTATGCAGATACATGAAGTTTCTCAGAGGCATCTGGTAGGTAGTGACACCGTAGTGTAGGGCACCCAAAGGAGACATTGAAGAGTCAACTCCTACCTCCCTGGGTGAGAGTACACGGTGGTAAGAGTGAGATATTATGGGCCCGATGAACACCTTGATATGTGTATGGGCCTGAAAGCCCAAGACCTATAGGGCAGACGGATGTCAGGCCCTTAGAGGTCTAGTGTCCACATGACATTCTCATATTGGATGTGGTTACAATCAGCTTTAGTGGGCTTGCTCACATGAATATATTATGGATCAATCCCTCTAAACAGTTTATCAACCCTTTAATTACTTTTAGAGCATACATCCAACAGTATTCGGACGAGATATCACATAAGGTACATACATGGCTGTGAGAGATTACCGATTGTGTTGTTGGCTTGAAAATATAAGGCCAATAATTTGGGGAGTTGGAGATGATAACAATAAAGAGGCCCAAAAAGATGATAAATCATTGGGATTTTTAGAGTTTCCTTCAACTAAGGATTTTAGGATTTGTGAAAGATGACAGAAAAGGCACGTCATAGGGATGAGAGGTAAAAGGGTGAGAGAGATGTGATGGAAGTAGTTTTGTGAGATATGATAATAGATTTCCAAATTTGGGGGTTCGAAGGATTGCTCGAGTGGAGGGAGAAAATGATGGGAGAGAAGGCGCGCTCTTTGAATGTGTTTGAAAGAAAAATAGAAAAAAAAATGTGATAAAGACTGTTATACACTTGTTTTATATATGCTATATAAGGAAATATTAAAAAAAACGATTATATAGAGGATAATGTTTGCCGCATTCTCTATTTTCTCCTTCTGCACCCACTTTCAAGGAAAATGATTGCCGCACTTCTATTTCTCCTCATGCATCATCTTCCATGGAAAATGAAAACTGCATTGTATCTTCTCCTTATGCACCTTTTGGTTTTTGCTTTTGCGTGAAATAATTTTACCCTATCTGCTTTGTCCTTCTACACCATCTTTCATGACAAAAGATAAAGATTGATGCATTATGTCTCTCCTTCTGCACCATCTGTTTTCCGCTTACGCACTATCTTTCATGGAAAATGATTGATGCACTTTTGTTTTGTCCTTCGGCATTATCTTCTACGGGAAATAATTGCCCGCATTTCTGATTTCCCTTTCTACACCGTCTTTTTATTTCTATTCGTTGATTTTTCCTTTTTATACCGTCTTTTTATTTTTATTTGTTGATATTTCTTTAATTTATTCAGTAAAAAACCTGAACAAAAAATATGAGCGCATACCAATAAGAAACAGAGTACGAAAATCATTTTCCGAGTCGATATATCTTTCGAGGCAGGCACTTAGCAAGTAAAATAAACATGTTTAGAAGTCCCTCTAGTTGTGAGGATTGGGTACACATGATCAAATGTCCCACATTTTTAACACGAGTTTCAGTGGTTCCATTTCTCTCTCTCTCTTTCTCTCTCTCTCTCTTACTGCAGGCGGGAAACTGATATTTGGGAACAAAACCCTCCCACCAAAAAACCGCAGAGACACCTGTCAGAAGGCGTCTCTCTTCTTCTTTCTTCTTTCCTTAAATCCCCAACCCTAATCCACTCGAACCAACAAATACCCAGATTTAGAGAGAGAGAGAGAGAGATTTAGAGAGAGAAAGAGAGAGCAAAAGCGAGAAAGCTCCCCTCTTTTGCTCTCTCTCTCTCCATGGCATTTCCCCTCAAGCACCAAAACGACGACGCCTCGACGCCCCTCCGCTACCTATCTCTGAACCACGTCTATTCCGCCACCTCTCCTTGCGTCAGCGCCAGTGGGTCCTCCAACGTCATGTCCAAGAAGGTCAAAGCTCGCAAGCTCGACGACTTCGACGATGGCAATGGCAGTGGCAATGACGGCGATCAGAACCTTCAGAAGCCCTCTCCCAAACCCTCAATTGTCAATGTCTACTCGCGCCGTGCCAAGCGGCCTCGCCATTGCTCCTCATTCTTCGATGCTTTGCTTGCCCGGAACGAGCCGGCGGAGGTGAAGATTGAGGAGGTTGAGATTGATGATGTGGATGGTGAATTCGAGAGGGTTTCAGAGACGAAGAAGAAGAGGAAGCTCGGGTTTAACGAGTTACTTAAATTGGGGGTTGATTCTAGTATTCTGTCTAATTTGGAGGGGCCTCGATTGAGGGATTCCCGCAGCAATCCGAAACTCGTGGGCAGTAAAAAAGGAGAGAAACTGCGCCTCAAGAAGCGGAATTCTTCTGCTAACTGCGAGAAAATTCTTTCGGATTCTCCTTCTGTGAAGAAATGGGTCGGGTATGTGTTAGTTCAGAGTTTCAATTCTCTATCTTTTTGTTATTTCGTCGAAAAGGTTTCAATTCTAATATGTTTGAATGATTATTGAGAAAGTGTTAATGGTTGTTTTCGACAGGTTGAGTTTCAATGATGTGAATCCCAAAACTTTTATTGGATTACAATGCAAGGCAAGCTCTCTGTAAGCTCTTTTTGACAATTGTTACAAGTTTGCTCTGTTTTGAGGATGTGAGGAACATAGCATTGCTGTGCTTGTTGGAAATTCTGAACATTTGCTTTGTTGAGTACAGGTCTATTGGCCATTGGATGCTGATTGGTATTCGGGCCGCATTGTGGGTTACAACTCTGACACTAATAGACATCATGTATTGCTCTTATCATTTTCATTCTGTCTGCTTTGTTTAATCATTTTTATGTTGTTCTGGGCGCCCGAGACAATTTGCGAAAGTTAAGGCATAAAAAGTCGTTCGAGCCATAACTTATGAATTTTGCAATGTAGATTGAATATGAAGATGCTGATGAGGAAGATTTGCTTCTATCAAGCGAGAGACTCAAATTTTATATCTCTCGAGAAGAAATGGAAAGTTTGAATTTGAGTTGCAGTCCCAAGAGTACAAACAGTGATGTCTATGATTATAATGAGATGGTTGTGTTGGCTGCGAGTTTGGATGACTGCCAAGAACTAGAGCCTGGGGATATTATATGGGCCAAGCTTACTGGTGTGTGATTAGTCTACTGTTTTGATTTTGCTTTTAGTTGTTATTATATTTCTTATGACTTTTGAGTGAGAGGATGATCACATATGATAACAAATAACAAGGTAATCCCTTTGCATTGGAAAAAACAAATTGTTTCTTTGGCCTTTCAGGCGCCTACACAAACCACATGGTTTTTGTCCTAGATGATTCAGAGGCTCCTCCGTAGAAACTAGATTCCAGTTTGATGTTAAGAGTATATTGACCCAACTGAACATGTTTTCTGTTTGGTTATGGTTTAGGAGCAGTACTAGGGCTCTGGTTGTGTTAGGCGGCCTGAGTGGCTCCTTTCCTTCTGCTATGTTAACCACTGTAGATATTGATGTTAATTATCGCTGCGGTTCCTTGATATGATATTTTTTTTCGTGGACAAGAACACAAACTTTTATTGAAAAGAAAGAAGGGAAAGAGTCAATGGTGTTCATCAAAATCAGAATCATGAAATATATATCATATCACATTGAACTCAAAACTAGATCGGAATTGTTAATAGTGATGTATCCAAATATCTGCATAATCTAATTTCTCTTGCTTTGTTTTTAATTGGAAGTGTAAAGCTACGGCAATTTGATCATTTCATCTTCCCCGACTGTTGTCTGACTTGATATATGAGGATTTATTAGGTTTCATGTAATAGATATAAATATTCAGTTACTTGTGTCGTGAGTTTCTTCCACTGTTATACATCTGTTTTTTATTCCTTGGAGTTTGCACCAACTGGTGGTTTCAGTTATTGGATTTCACACAAACTTCTTTCAACCGCTGTAGTGCAGGTTATGCTATGTGGCCAGCAATTGTTGTGGATGAATCCCTTATTGGTGATCGTAAAGGCTTAAGCAAAACTTTGGGAGGAAAATCAGTTCCAGTGCAGTTTTTCGGTACCCATGACTTTGCAAGGTTTGGGTTCCTTTGACATCTACGGAACTTTTAAGTATAGTTTGTGCACTTAATTACATATTATACCTGAAATTTCCATTTTTTTAAAATGACATCGTTTTCCTGTTGTTATTTATACAGGATTAAAGTGAAACAAGCAATCTCATTTCTCAAAGGGCTTCTTTCTTCATTCCATTTGAAGTGCAAGAAGCCTGGTTTCATCAAAAGCTTGGAAGAAGCAAAAATGTAATCTTTTATAGTTTTTTACAAGACCTTTTCATTTATGAGTTTATTCATGGTGCTAAACTTGTGAATTTAAAATCCATGCATTTGTTCTCATTTGTTAATATAACCTGCTTACATCATAATGTATTTTTGTAACATGGCATTGCATCCTTCATGAATCGGGCATGTTGAGATTATTGTAGTTCTGACCCTAACTCTGCATGCTCTGAATATGTTGTGCAAGTATATAATGACCTAATATGCTAAGAGGCAAGTTTTGATGAGACAATGTGTACATTCACTTTAATTAATATTTATGCGCAAAACTATTATGTCTTTGAGACATTATCAAGGAGGCTATGTGAATCCATCACCCTACAGAGCTTTAATTGGTAATGACTGCATTGAGGTTTTTTCTTATTCTTATGTAATTCCTTTTGTTTGTAGTTTGTACCCTTTCAAATTTTACCGATCATTTGTAAGATACAGGCTTTAACCTGATTAAATTTGTTTATCAGTGCAATATGAAGACCTTTTTTATTATAGCATAACTGGGTAATCTTTTGTTTTCATCAGGTATCTCAATGAACAAAAGCTTCCAAGAACAATGCTAAGGCTGCAAAATGGAATTAACATTGATGAACGTGAAAGCATAAGTGGAGAGGATGAAGTGAGTGCAGATTCTGGTGAGGGATGTTTTGATGATGCAGGGATTCCGAGGACACTGGATTACCTTGGAACTTCTCCCTTTGTGATCGGAGATTTACAGATAATAAACCTTGGTAATTCTGTATACTCTTGTAGACATTATATAATATAAGCTGGATGGTTCCCATGCATTGTCCAAATTTTGATGGTATAATTGTTGAACACATTTTCATTCTTCAAAGCTAGATTTTCTGAATCCCAACTGTGTGAGGAAACACCACTAGTCTTGTAGCCAAAGTTGTACCTCCCCCCATCAAAGGGAGGGTATTGGGTTCAATCCATGCAAAGCGGGGGTGGGGTTGGGAGAGGGAATGTTATTTCAATTTTGTAGACCATGCATTTTGTGGAAAAAGAATGTATGAGAAAAGGATGCCTGGTGCTGATTGCCAGCAATTTTTTATTTAATATTTTTAGTATTTAATTGATTTAGAGTTATTCTGCCAAGAAATATGGATTAACTTCAATAGTTTCTATACAATTATTCTTTAACATCTGGTAGTTTATAGAAACTGTTCAATAAATGGTACTTCATTAGTTATTGACCTTTGAAGTTGTGCTTCAACGACAATTATAGAGAATAGGAGTGTTTCAAGGTTGTTTCCATTGAGGAGCTGGGTTGTTTATAGGGTAGAATTTGATTTTAGTCTTCTTTGTGGGCATCTACCGCATCAAAGTCGAGAGAGTTATCTTTTTCTGTTATTTGTTCTGTTTAAAGAGCAGGTGTTCTGTAATATGCAGGCTTCTCTGTAGTCTTATTTTTTTCATTAGTTTAAGGCTGATACTTTAAATTTAGTATTTTCAGTTGTGGACTCCACTTTTCTTGTACCTTCTGTATTTTAATAAGTGCCTGTTTTCTATACACACACATATAAGAAACAAAGTATATCCAGTTGGTTCTTGAGACTTTCATCCTACTCATCGCCATATGGAAATTTCTTGCAGGAAAGATTGTCAGGGACTCAGAATGTTTTCAGGATGAGAAGTACATTTGGCCTGAAGGCTATACTGCCTTGAGGAAGTTTACTTCAATTACAGGTGGGATTCTCTCTTTTTTATAGACAGCTTTTTCATAATAAAGTTATTTTTATTTATTAGGTTAATGCCATCTTTATTGCAATGATATTAGTATTGTAATGATCTTGCTTCTGATAAATATTTGGATCAGATCCGAGTGTACTTGCCTTATATAAGATGGAGGTGTTGAGAGATACCGAATCAAATATTCGACCTCTGTTCAAAGTGTCATTAGATACAGGAGAGCAGGTTAGGCTTTCTCCAGTTTCAGTTTTGAGTGCATTTGAAAGTATGTGATTGTCTCTTGAACTTCCTCACCAGTTTATCAGTTCGTATAGTATGTGATTGTCTCTTTAACTTCCTTCACCCAGTTTATCAGTTTGTGCCTCAATAATATACTTCTATTCTTGTTGACTCATATGTTATTCATCACTTATGATATCTCAGATGTCTGAGTAATACTCAAGTGCATATAATATGCGTATATTTATCAGACATGATCATGCCATCTGGTAAATCCCATTTTAGCAGAGACAGATTTTTAGGTAATATTTGGGATTGGAACTTTGCACCCATGGATTAGCACTGTTGCCCTTGAAGAATTGTCAATTGTGCTTTTCTTTCTCCTCCTCACTTTCTTATAGGCCTAGCTCAGAGTAATAACTTTCCTGACTAGCTTGATGACTCTGAATTCGAAAGTGTTGCTTCTTACCTTGTTGTCTTCCAAAAAGGCTCAGTTCCTGGATCACTCTGATACTTAATCTTGGATCTTACATTTCTCAAAATCTAAAATCAATATAGGTGGTTAGTTTCATCTGTTGTGTGGGAAGTGAATAACCAGTTTTCCTCTATTGTTTTATGTTTATGTGGATCTTGTCCGTGTACTTCTTTTCCCGATGTATTAATGTGTATAGCTTCACCACCTGTTAAGCTGTACTTATACCTCTTCAACGGTGGTTTTCTTGCAGATAATCTTCTTGAATTATATAGTAAAATGGACTTGTATATTCTCCTCCGTTTTCATCCTAATGTATATAAACATGTTAGGCATCTGATTAAAGGTTTAGTAACTTATCATTGCTTAGTTTAAACTTTAAATCCCTTAAATGGTCTACAATTACAATCCAGAAAACATATCTATTTACAGTCCAGAATACATATCTATTGTGTTATTTACACTAATTTTAATAGCGATGACAGCTGTGTATGCTCTCTTTATAATTATGATGCACTGCCTAGGCAGTACACAATAAAAGGTCGTATTGTCTTGTTATATGTTTCATCTTCTATTTGTGATTCCTTTATTGAGTACAGGAGTATGATGCACAAAAAAGTATCTGGAATGAATATCTGCGGATGTTCTGTTATTCATTTTCCTTTCTGCTCATCTCTTCTAGTTCAAAGGATCTACACCATCAGCTTGCTGGAATAAAATATACAAAAGGATAACGAAAGCACAAAACAATTCATTTGGTGGTTCTAATGCTAATGCTGAAGGCAGATTAGAAGGGACCTATAAATCTGGTTCTCATATGTTTGGTTTCTCTATACGGGAAGTTGCTAAACGTATTCAGGTACCTAAGCTGAGTTATGCATTAGCACTATTTAAATTTCTTCTGCCGTTAATGTATTTATGAATAAAATGTGATTTTTTTTTCTTGGGCTTTGATGCCAAGTTTTATTTATTTGTTCTGTCAGGGTCAAGTATTGATTTATTTTTGTAATAACGATTGTCATAACTATTAATTCTTAAGCATGTTCAACTGTTTTGTACTGCGCCTCTCTAATGAATAGAATCAAATTAAGGAATTGGGAATCAGGCCGAACTACTGTACTCTTGGGTTGGATATAGAATAAATGCCGTATCAACCACGAAGATATAATATAAATGTAATGCATATGTTTGTTTGTATATATGTATATGTGCACACGCATATGCATAGCTAATTTCAGATCAATATTATCCTTTATTATTTAATTTTGACGATATACTTCTCTGTTGAATATATGGAATCTTTTCTGTTGCTTAGTTAATGGTTCTTGACTAATATTTGTTTTGGCGACATGTTGTAAATTATTGAAGCCCATTCCATTTTGAGATGCTACACAAATTTTTGCATCTTCCTGTATTCCTTGATTTCTAGCCTAATATAAATATCTGGGGTTTTGGCAGAGGTTATCAAAATCCAGGCTTTCTTCAAAATTACCCAAGTGCAAGTTAGCCTCTAGGAGATATCGAGATGCTCCTGTTGGTTACAGACCTGTTCGTGTGGACTGGAAGGACCTTGATAAATGCAGTGTTTGCCACATGGATGAGGTGGACATCGAAGCTTTTCCCCATTTCAGTGACATTCTTTTCTTCTGCATAATAGTTGTCTGTTGGTTTTCTGTATTTATTTCATCTTGTTTCTTTACTTTAAAAGGTCTACTATATATATATATATTACCTTTTTCTTTCATTTCTGCAAGTTGCAGTGTTTTATTTATTAAGTGGGAGTTTATTTAAACTTTTTATCCCTATTGGTTTGCTAAGTGGTGTTTTGTTCATAGGAGTACGAAAACAACCTGTTCCTGCAGTGTGACAAATGCAGAATGATGGTAATGGTCTTTTCTGATACTGGGGATCACATTACTGCTAATGGTGGTTAAACTACTAAATGCAGAATGATGCTTTAGTCAACCAAGTTTCTTTTTCAAGGCTATTTGGAATGCTTTGTTTTCTGTTTTCGTAGGTCCATGCAAGATGCTATGGAGAATTGGAACCTGTTGGTGGGGTACTATGGTTATGCAACTTATGTCGGCCTGGGGCTCCTGAACCTCCACCCCCTTGCTACCTTTGTCCTGTAATAGGTACTTATAATTCAATTAATCTTTGACCTTTGTAACGCCATGGATTTCACATCATTAAATTATTGAACTGATTTTCCTCCAGGGGGTGCAATGAAGCCTACAACTGATGGGCGCTGGGCTCATCTGGCTTGTGCCATATGGATACCAGGTTCATGAAAATACAGTTTCCATTTTTGGTCATTGAATATTTATTTATTTTTCCGTTAATGCTTTGAAAATGTATCAGAAACCTGCCTGTCTGATGTTAAGAGAATGGAGCCAATTGATGGGCTTAGTAGAATCAACAAGGTATATCCTTGTTCACTTGATGTTTCCACACCATATGGCCGCCTCCTTTTGTTCGCACCACTCCCCTTTGTCTTTGACATGTGTCACCTTTTTTATGTTTATCTTGTGAGGATTTGTGTGTTGCAGTGGTCTCATATACTTTTGATCATTTCAGATCAAAATGGCTAAAAACCTTACTGTCGAGGTTTTCCCGCTTCCACTAATCTTCTGTTTTGTGACAGGACCGTTGGAAGCTATTATGTAGTATCTGTGGGGTTTCATATGGAGCCTGCATTCAGGTAAGTTGATTTATATTCAAATAACAGCCAACGGCTTGTCAATTTGTTGAATTTATAACATGTATCGTGATGTCAAACTGGCCGAATATTTTGTTGCAACTTGCAGGGAAGAAATTTTGTTGAATGTTTTCTTGTCTGTTTAGAAACTCACGGAATGAATGATTCATATTGAGGGTTTTCTAGAATGTTTTACTTGTATGATGGTCATCAATCTGCTTTATTTATTACATTTTTGAAGAAAAAAGGGTACCTGATCCAAGTAAAATAATTAACATAATAAATGTTCCAGAGTTGAGCATTTGGTAGAATCTTTTAATCTTATGCTATAATGCTAGTTACCAATCTTCTTTATTTGGTGTTAAATTTCTTGAAAAAAATGGTTACTGTGTCTTAAAGAAAAATATACTTTTAATCCATCTTAGAATATCATGTGAAAAACTTTAAATTTGTATTCTTTTTGTCCCGTACATGATTGTTGCATCTATGTAGAAATTGGTTGGTTTTCATATGTTCTTTACTTATTTTCATATGATATATATATATATATATATATATATAATATATATATCCATCTTTGTATCTTCCCTGATTTATTTTTCTTTCTTAACTGTATAAATGTTGGTGGTCAAAATTCATTGATAATAACCTGTTTGATTTTTTGCCCCTTCCAGTGTTCGAACCATACGTGTTGTGTGGCATATCACCCACTTTGTGCACGAGCTGCTGGTCTATGTGTTGAGGTAGTTGATTTTTTTTCATTTTACTTGCATTATTGGTTTTATGTTACTCTCTATTTTTTTCAATAATCTGCTGGATGCATTACTGAATGATTTTGATAAATTTTTTGCCCGAGGTAGTTCTTAATTATTTGCTGTTTGTTTTTGTATTCTATATTTATTACTACAAAGCTTGAGGATGAGGACAGACTACATCTACTATCTGTAGACGATGATGAAGTAGAGCAGTGCATTCGTCTTCTTTCCTTCTGCAAGAAGCATAGGCAGCCAACAAATGACCGTTCAGCTGCTGATAACTGTTTTAGCCGAACGGTGCGCCGATGCTCAGAATACATTCCACCGTCCAATCCATCTGGTTGTGCTCGGACTGGTAAGTAAATGCATAATCAGTCTTCTTTAGAGTAAAGTGTACTAGTGAAATTTTATGATCCTGCTGCAAATTACCTTACAAGTTTGTTTACATCTCTACGTCGCTTTTGGTACACTTGACAGATATGATGTTATAAATCATAATGTCTCTCTGCTTATTTTCGCGTTCTTTGCTTATGTACTGGTTCCAGTCCCCCATGTTATAGGAAGATTTGTCTCTCTTGAAGTATTTGTAGTTTTTGCACAGATGGTCATTGCAATATTGCATCCTTTTAAGGAAAATTGTACTATGAAGCCATGAATATTTGAGGTTGCCAGCCTCCATTTACTGGGAGTCAAAGTTGATTATGAGTTATACTGCTTGTTTGTCTTCTGCAACATGTTCCAAACTTACTAGGTTTGACACTCTGAACTTGACTCCATCTTCAGTATAACTTGCTATATCTCCTACCATCCCTCGTCATCTCACTCTCACTTACTCTTTTGGCCTTTCCTGCCATCATCACTTTACTTCTTTTTTGGGATCATACTAAAAGATGGTTCAACGCTTTATGGGGTAGATACTTAATTCCAAACAATCAAGTGCATGTTTATCTTTTCTGTTTAATTAATGAGATTCAGTAGAGTTTGTGATCTTATTTTATGAATGCTTGTATAGTGTATTTATACTATGACTGAATCATTGATATAGATATTAGACACTCAGTTTGTTGAATTTATTATTTTGAAATTCATTAATTTTGTGCTCCTTTCAACCCTTGGGCAGAGCCATACAACTATTTTTGTAGAAGAGGGAGAAAAGAACCTGAAGCCATAGCTGCTGCATCCTTAAAGCGTTTGTTTGTCGAAAACCAGCCTTACTTAGTTGGTGGTTACACCCAACACCAACTGTCAAGTAATTCACAGCCTCCAAATGGCTCTAGGTTCTGCTGTAGCCTTCAGAGGCTGAAAGCCTCCCAGCTTGATGCTCCTAATGACATACTATCTATGTCTGAGAAGTATAAATACATGAGGGACACCTTTCGAAAAAGACTAGCATTTGGTAAGATATAGTTTTCTTACTCACATGGTTACCTGAATTTCCTTGAAACATTTAAGAATGTTGTATGTAAATCTAGCTTCTCCTATTTATGTTCAGTTTAGTGATCTTCATCACTCTCCTATCTGGTTCTTTTACTTTCTATTTAATTTTCGTAACAATATTGTGTTTCTTCTTTGAAGCTAGCAGTGTATGCTGGTATCCCAGAGTTTTATTATTTCTTCCAGTAGTTTTCATATCATAGATGTTTTCATGACCTTGGTTGTGTAGTTCAGTCACGTCATTCAGTGTTGTATTTTTCTCTTACCATTGTTATTCTGAGTTGTCTTTTGGAACTTCCTTTTCTTTTAACTGCAGGAAAATCGGGAATTCATGGTTTTGGTATCTTTGCAAAACACCCACATAGAGCAGGGGACATGGTAAACTAATGTTCTTAAGTAAATTTTGACCTGTAAAAGAATACTTTGAAGACTGATCATATCTCTTGTAGGTGATTGAGTACACGGGTGAACTTGTTAGACCTCCTGTAGCTGACAGGAGGGAGCATTTCATATATAATTCATTGGTGGTAAGTTAGGCTTTGTTATTCTTGCATGCATTTTATGTTGCGGGACAAATCACATCAGAAGTAGATATCAAAATTGTTCATGGATAACGAATTAGCTAGATGGAAATCGATGTTGCTATCTTCCCTTGATCTTGTTGTTCTTTAAGTGTAAACTATTAAAAGTGTCAGAGCAATGTGAGCCGTAGATGTAAGCCCTAGCTGTATTAATAGATTTATACTTTATTAAATTCCATTCACATGGATAAGCAGCTTGGCTATAGTGCATACATCCTATCCTAAATTTTAGTTCACTAATCATGCGCTTAGGCATCTATTATTTTAGATTTCATCGTGCTCATCTATTATTAGTTCTGTATACATCATATGTATCTCCATTTTAGAAACTTGTACATTTGTTGATGCTTGCGTACGAAATGAGAAAGAAATGGCTCTCTAAAGCTTTACCTTTTTGCATGCAGGGGGCTGGGACTTATATGTTCCGGATTGATGATGAACGAGTCATTGATGCCACAAGAGCTGGAAGCATTGCGCACCTTATTAATCACTCTTGTGAAGTGCGTATTATCTGACCCTTGATTATTTAGTTTTAATTTTGTGAAGTATCCATCATCTTGAATTGTCCTTGTACTGAACATAATCCAGAAGAAACTGAACTTCCCAAGGATGTGCAGAATCAAACTCTCCCATAAATACATGCCCACCACCTGCTGCAAAATCTCCAACTCCTCTCCATTTAAGAACTCAAATTAAATATTGCCAGCACGGCACATCAACCAAGCACCAAGTCTCTTTTTCTCCCTCTAGAAACTTAGGGCATGCTTACTTATTTGGAATGGCATACCTAAGTTCAACATGGGACGCACTTTTTCATTCATGATAAGTAAGCATCCCTTTGGGCTTCTCACAAAGTAATGCATCACAAGATTCTGGGAGTCATAATGTAGATTGACTTGATATCGTTTTCATTGAAGCAACAAGCTAAATGTGTCAGCATAAGAAATTATGGGAGAATGATGCCTCTGTTTAATAAGAAACGAGTTAATGAATGAATTTACTGATTAGAAGTTTTCTTATTCCTATTGATTTTTCCGAAACAAAAATTCATTGAGAAGAGAGCAAAGTGTTTGTTCTCAAGTAATATAGTAGTTGTAGAGGCTCCTAATTTTGTGTTCCTTTTTAACATTTTACACAGGTTTTTATTGGCATTTTTTAGATATGCTTGAAATCATATAATTTATATTTTTAATGTTGCATATGCTTGTGATTACTGAATTTATATTGAATGGCTTCTGCACAAGCTTTTTATTTGTTTATTTAACTTTATACTTGCTGACGTTTACCTTTCTGGTGTGCAGCCAAATTGCTACTCAAGAGTCATAAGTGTTAATAACGATGAGCATATAATTATATTTGCAAAGAGAGACATTAAACGATGGGAAGAACTTACATATGATTATAGGTTATCCTCAATTCTGGCTATATGCAAATTTTCCTTTTTATTCATTTCAGGTGCTAATTTCTTCTTAATATCGCAGATTCTTTTCAATAGATGAACAGCTAGCATGTTATTGTGGTTTCCCAAGATGTCAGGGGGTGGTTAATGATGTTGAATCCGAAGAGCGAGCAACCAAGCTTTGTGCCCCTCGCAGCGAGTTAATAGATTGGAGTGGTGAATGATAAAAAGGTAGGTGAACAGTAACGCACTTTTCTAAAATTTTGGTCCAAGATATATGTAAGGCTGAAGATTTTCGGCAAGATATATAATTAGACATTTTACCTTGAAAATTGATGTTTGTTAGTAACCAACACGTTGCATCTGCAATGCCCCAAAACCTACCTCCTTTCCCCCAATATTAATATTTTGGTATCTGCTCTGTATTTTTTTTTTCAGTGCCGTCTCACACTTCTGCCTCTATGTCGCTGTGCTCATTTTTCTCATCGCTGTCAATATCACATGACTAATTTGGTGTTCTTTGTCAATGTCCGATGCCATTTGCATTGATAACGTTTCGTTGTGCTGATTGTACCCTCCGTTTTTGTTTGTGCAGAAATGTCTTGTTGTAAAATATGTTCATTCAAGATCTCGAGGAGACGGATTTCTCCCAACAATCTGCTATAACTGTCTATTCTCTCAAGGCAGATGGAGTCCCCGGTTCTCGTGTTTTTACATGACAAAAAAAAATAGCGATTCAGCATTTTTTTTTTTCGGAAGTTGATCCCTCTTCTTGGTTCGGGGATGTAAACTTGAAGAAGTCATTGAGATCCATAGCAAAGGTCAGTTTTACTTGGTTAATTGTAATTGTTCATTTAAGTACATCAAACTTTGTGGAAAATAACTAGAGACTTTATGAATGGAAGGTAATTTGGTGGGTATAATCTCACCTTGGTTTCCAAGTTTTTGATGATTCCCTTGATCTCTCGAAGCCACCTGTTTCACTGCCTTACCGGCATTTTCTTTGAATAAATCTGCAGGGTTCCATTCCATCTAAAGAGATTGTTGGTCTTTTTCGGTCATTGTATTTTGTATATTGGCTCGTTTGAGATTGCTTTTGTAAGAAACGCCAATATACACTCGTAAGAGTTTTTACTCTGAACAACTCGCAGGTGCTTTCGGAACATTTGCTAGATTAATGAAAACATCTCAGGAAAATTCTTTCTCAACTGTTCGTTCTTGATAAATTCAAGAATTGCATCTCTGAGTATGAAAGATATTGTCCACGACTGTCGTTGTTCTTATTACTTCGTTCGTGAAAGCTAAAGGAATAGGACCGAAATCTTGATCTATCGTCGCCACATTCTAATGTATTGAATGATGCCACAATGACAAACACCACATGCCATGTACTACGGAAAACTTCATAGATGCTTGGTCAGGACACAAAATCTGTATAAACGTTATGATCTCTTCTTGCCCATTATGGTTAAAGAGGGACTCTAATTATCAACCGTCACACCATGTGCAGAATCTTCCCCTATGTTCGCTTTTGTCCCAAGTCTAGGATTAAGGCGAAAACAACTCTCACTTTACATAATAATTACCATAGCTAGAGCCCAGAGGTCGATTGTTGGGGAAGGGGGAATTAGTACAAATTGAAAGTTTAGAGGGGCATAAGAGAAGAAGATGAAACTTGCGTGTCGAAAACGTAAGGTCTGGATTTTGTTTACTTGCAAGACAGATTTTTGGGCCCGAGATTTTTCATACTGCAATAAACTGGACCCAAGCCCAAGCCCAAGCCCAAGATCAAGCCCAATAAAACAAAAATATGATGAACCCAGCCCATGATTAAAAGCAAATAACCGCGTTAAGGCGGTGATGAGTCTTGCAACATCAAATTCAAACGGTCGTCTCTCACTCTCTCTCTCTCTCTCTCTCTCTGTGCTCTCTCTCACAGAGGTCGAATTTTTCAGCGCAATCAATTTCCGGGTTTGGTTTTTTGGGCGACGAGCTTCGGTCTGTTCTCGGATCGGAGGAACCCTAACGAGCAAGCGAAATCGAAATCGAAATCAACTTCCAGGTTCCCCTTTTTCTTTCCTTTAATTTCTGGCTTTTTCTTTCTCTACTTTCTGGCTTAATTTGCACTGCACCGTGCGAAAAAGTTAGGGTTTTGTTTCTTGATTTGAATTGTAATCCCATTTGAAAATGGGAATGCCGTTGGGTTATTGGGGTGCGCCGTTGGGTTGTCGGTTCATCCAACTGATCAAGAATTGGTCGCTTCCTATCTTCGCGTCAGAGCGCTCGCCGGAAAGCCGTTGGGAATTCCCTTTATTTACGAGTACAATCTCTTTGGCCAAACACCACCCTGGGTGGTTTGGGAAAACTTCGGCGGGAATTCCCTACTCGATCAGGACTTGTTCTTCTTCTACGAGCTGCGTTCTAGCGGCAGCCGCAGCAAACGCCAGATCGAAGCTGGAGGCACTTGGAGCGGAACATCCTCCGACAAAGTTTTAGGCTTGGACGGAAATCAAATCGGGGAAAAACGGCACTTCAAGTATACAAACAAAGGCTCTGAGAACAATGGCGACTGGCTCTTGGAAGAGTACAGTCTTCTTCCTAGCGCAGTTGCTGGCGCAAAGGTGGTTCTTTCTCGACTTAAAAGGAATCCGAGGTCTAGGTGTGGAAACAGGATGGATTCCTCGGTTCCAACTCCTGAATTCAATGAGAAGCCACCAGTAAAGAGGGCAGGAAAACAAGTATTGAATGAGAAGCCGCCGGTTAAGAGAAAGAGAGCAAGAACAGAGGAATTGAATGAGAAGCCGTCAGTTAAGAAAGAAAAAAAAGAAGTGGGATCGCAAACAAATACTAGTGCGAGTGTGGTCGCCATTGGTGAACTACAAGACTGCCCTAGTACAAGCAGTAGTCCTGATGAAGGAAATAGGATGATTAGTGAGACTGCCAATGATGATCAGGAGTGCATAAGCAACATTCACGGCAATGTGAAGATGACCGATTTTTCTGTTCACGATTATGTGCCGCTGATGAGTGATGTTTATTCTGATCCAATATGCTTGGGTGGTGAATATGGTGCTACTACTAGCGATGAAGAAATTCTTTTACATGCTGAAGAATTTCTTCTAGGCTTTGACCAATGGTTGGGAACGGTTGAAGGTGAATCACCACAGAGACATCCTCAAATTGACGAATGCAGCCAACCGTCGGATGGAATCAGATACTGGACGGACTGCTTGTGGATGAGCGATTCTGTGAATGATCAATAGAGGAGATGTAGAAGGGACGGCAGCTGTCTAATTTCCACAGCGTCAGAAGCACAGTTTTTTATCAGGAGAAACTTTAATCGTCTTTCTTAGTATATATTTTATTTTGTTTGGTTCTTTAGTTAATTGAGAAATTTGGTGTAGGTGTTTTCCTTGGCTTCCTTCTCTGCCTTACTGATCCATTGCATGCCTCTTCATTTTGCAGCCAACGGGTCTACTGTGTTCTCCCATTCATGTACCGAAGGACACATGTCCTTATGTAAATTCTAGTTTTTCTGGGACGTGGTTGAACGGTGAAGCTAGTGACCCCTTGGATGATCAGTTTCCACTGTGTATGTATGTGTTTCTAGGATCAGTGCCAATTTTAATGCACTGAAAGCTTATAATACAATTCTCTTCTGCCCAACTTTCTTACTTTCTGTTTATTTCTACTGCCGGAAGGTATCAAGGTTTGGTGATTTCAATTACCATACTCAAATCTCTTTTTATTTGAAAATCAAATTGATACTTTCTGTTCCTTTGAATTACTCCCTCTGTATGTGTGGTCGTGTGAGTGTGTGCGTGTTCTATTTATTACACTTGCATTTTGATGTCAGAATGGCGTGTTTAGTTTTCATGTCATGCTTGCCGTTCTTCTTCGCTTTTTTGTGAATGTGTTGTTAGTTTTTCTGGTGATGAGGACAATTATGATGTTTCTTGCCACTGCTTCTATGGCTTTTGCTCGACTGTATGTTTTCTCTCTTTAATTTTTAGTCTTGACACCTTAGCAACAACTTGTCTATATTAGATGAGGGACTTTCTGTTTTTGGCCTGCAATGCAATTTTCTTACTGTAATTTTTTGTACTCAATCTCTTACTATAATACTATAATACTTGCTGTGTTAGTTTACGTTTAACTACTTTTTTCATTAATAAAGTGGAAGCTATGGGCATGTACAACAATAAAGATATACATGGAACAGATTCAACGCCCCGTGGCGCACTGGTCCAACAACATAGTGTCATGTGTAAGTTTTTCTTCACATGTCAAAACATTATTGGATTTAGATGTCACGGTGACAGTTAACCCATTCCATGTAAGCTTGGAAGTATTCCTGAATTTACAGTCAAGATTGTTCCGTTCTGTGCATTGTTTTTTTCTGTTTTACAGGTTCAGTAGTCCAATAGTCTTAAGGCTGCTTTTCATGGAGCCTCATGTAAGTCCCTCTCTCTTTTAATTGTTCACTGAATTTTTTTTTATTCTTCCTTGGCAGTCGAGGCAAAAAACTCATCCGGATCTGCTTCAAACACGAACTGTGAATGTTATGTTTATGTACTTAAACAGAAGTTTCCTGCAAGCACACATACCTGCATACTATTCATATATACGTGGGTGGGTTCATGTGTTTACGATCTTCATTTTTGAACGGAGTAGCTGGTAACAGACGTGTTTAACAATATGATCTTGTTATTGTAGAAAAATAGAATGATATTTAAACTTTTGTAGATCTGAAATAGTATGATCAATCTTAATTGATCAAACTCTGATGACAGATGCAAGGAAAATCGTATTATGTTCATCGATGCAAGGCTAGATATTAAGCTTAGCCAACTACGCAAACATGATGTTTTATGTGCTTTCACATTGTAGGGGACTTGGCCGGGGAACGAGCTACTTGGACTTGATCAGGGATATGAGTTCAGAAGGTTTAGCAAATAATTTCAAGGCGAAGAAAAGCATCATCGAACCGTTGCTAAATAGTTTGTACAGAATGTGATGATTCATTTGTAAAAATATTACCCAAAACGGGGTTACGTTACGTTGTTCTAATGTCTTTTCATTAATCTCCGTTACTCTGTTAGAAAATGTGCAGAAAAGCTGGAAGTAGCAGTATGAATTTTGTTTGAGTTATGCATCTGAGGTTGTACTTGCTGTGTTAATTTACGTTTAACTACTCTTTTTGGTAATAAAGTGGAAGCTATGGGCATGTGCAACAACACTTTTGCAATTCTGTGGGAGGGGAGGGTATGAGGGTAGTTTGGGTAAGTTAGTTCTAGGATATTTCTTAACCAACAAGCATGTGGATGGTGTTTTTAGTTAAAAGTTGTGTTCAACAAATTGTGGGGAGTCCATAGAACCACTCAAGAGGAAGAAAGAAAAGAAAATGACGAAGAGAGAGGCCCCACCATGCCATGTGACAATCCAAAAAGGGGTAAAGACTTACATGGAACATGCTCAACGCTCTAGGGAGCACTGATCCAATAATGTGTTGTCAGTGGCGGATGCATTGAGGGGCAAGGGGATCAGCTGAGCTCCCGAACTTTTGGTGAATGTCCATGAACATCTTGGTGCTGCCCTTTTGAAGATTAGAATTTATACATGCCGTCTAACAGTTTGATAAAATGTCTGAAAAATAGTGAATAAAATGGTGATCTCAGTGAATAACAAAGCATTCTTGGACAAACATATTAATGGGATGCAATGATATCAAGCATTGTTAGTGTGTTCAAGCTAAGTGTGTTTCTTTGTTAAACATTCATATGGGAGCAGCCTTAGAACATATTAGTTACCCTCGCAAATGAGGCATTAACAGGTGTGCAGTATGCCTTGCCAAATGACTTCAGGCCTACTAAGACTTGATGAAATGGTGATATGCATGCTATTTATGGTAAAAAAATTTGCGCGCTACGCACGCTATTCTTACTGACCCTCATAATATTATTTCCTGAATCTGCCATTGTGTATTGTCATGTGTAAGCTTTTCTCCACATGTCAATGCATTATTGAACTTGTATGACACGGTGACGGTTAACTGATTCTATGTAAGATGTTGTCCAATAGAGGCCCACCATATGTTCAAAATGACTACAATACCTATATCACATAAGCCACGTAAAACAATATATTACTTTATCCTAATAAAACAATATTTTACTTCATCTTAATTTTTACCGCTGAGGCATTGCATTTTTTTGGAATTAAAACAATTATTACTATGTAGAGGCAAGTTTCTTACAACATGAACTAGAAAGATTATAACTTTGGTATAGTATGAAATTTATTCATATACATATAATTGGTCTAAGTTAGGATCAAATTTTTTTTTATCCCAATATGGAAATTATTCTTAAATAGTTGATTTTTAATGGGCTGTCTGATCATCAAGCAACATTACAAAATTAAAATGAGAAGACAGAACAAGAAAATCTGATTTCAAATGAAAATGTTACTAGCATTCTTGCTTAAAGTCATGATAATAATACTTAACGATTGAATGATTGAGGCTGGCATCATTCTACATGCATAATTAGTTGACGCAGACAAACCCGTGCTACTGTATGAAGATTCATGCATGTGATTGGTCTGACTTCTGTGTCTCTGAGAGAGAGAGAGAGAGAGAGAGAGAGAGAGAGAGAGAGAGAGAGAGAGAGAGAGAGAGAGAGAGAGAGAGAGCAATATGATCAACACACAGAAAACTTGGAATTGTTGTCAGCTTTTTCGGGCACTGACATTGGTCATGTGAGTCTGCTTGTATGTAAGGGAAACATTGTACGTAGAAATACTGGCCCTAAGTTCCTTTTCCATATGCCTTTTTTCCCTTCCAATTGCATGTGACTCCCTCCGCTCTCTAACAACTAACAAGCAAAGAGATTCATCGATTTCATGGCTACAGTGTTATTATAACGTCTCGTACTAATAACATAATATATGTTTGTTTCAGTCTATATAGCGTTATTATTGATATAGGGCATCATAACTCGTGTTATCTAAGTTGCTCTCTTCCGAAAGAACATCAACCACATAAAAAGCTTGCTACTCACTCAACCCCATCCTTCCGCTCCTCCTAATTGTCTCTATATAAACCAGACGCTGAAAGTCTGGATCCAACCACTTTAAGCTTCTTCTCACTTGATATCTTACAGTCGAAAGATCAGCAATGCATTGCCAACCAGCTTTCATGCTTCTTCTCTGCATTTCTCTTACACTTGCTTCTCTTTTCCCCCATGGTCTCTCTCTCTCCCCCTCTCCCTCCCTCCCTCCCTCTCTCTCTTTCTCTCTAAAATTTACTTGGGTTTTAATTAACTTGGTTAATTTTGATACATATATGTGTATATATATGTTGCAGGATGGGGAGCAAAATGCAGTATCAATGAGGAAGCTCCAACAGTGCAACAGACCCAAGTGGTGTTTGGAAGCTCTCCCAAATTCATGGTGGAAGTGAACAACAAGTGCCCAATGTGCCCAATCATCAACGTCCATTTGAAGTGTGGAAGCTTTCCTCAAGCTCTGGTGAATCCCCGGCAGCTCAAAGTGCTAGCCGTCGATGATTGTGTCATCAACGGCGGGTTGCCGTTGGCACCTCTGCAGACGTTTTCCTTCAATTACTCTCACCCAAAGTATCTCATGTATCCTAAGATTTGGTACTTTCAATGCGAGTGATTTGATGTAATTAAGTGATTAATTAGCATACACTAATTTCCTTTGCTTTTAGTACAATTTGTTAGTTCATGTGAATTGTTCTTCTTTAATCTCATCTGCATGGAGCTAGTAGGGGATTAGATTAAAAGGAAAACTAATGAAAATAGCTTGAAAACTTTGAGTTTTAACGATAAGGACAAAATAAAGGGTAAAGTGAATAGTACCAGGATTGACTTTTCAGTGTAAAAATGTGGTTTTTCGTTAAAGTGAACAGTACCGAGAGCTTTTTGTTAGAGTTCCCTAGATTAAATGGATCAAAACAGCATTTGTTGATCCAAAGAAACCAAATTGATGATAGAAGCTTTAAACTTGCTATGTAACTCAGAATTTAGGATAAAATTTGGGGGTTTTTTTTAGCCAAAATGGTCTTTGAGATTGACATAACTTCTCACTTTGGTCCATGAAATTTAAAATCAATAAAATTGGTTCTTGAGTTTGTCCAATGTAAAAATTTTTGGCCATTCCGTGAAGATTCTCCTTTAAATAAAGGTAAAATGACAAAAATACCCTCAAAATTTGTCAAATCATTTTGACCCATTGTTTATTAAATTGAGGGTATTTTTGTCATTTTGGTCCTTCTTTAACCGTGGTTAATAGTGGTTTCAAAGAATAACCAAAATGATTGACAATTGACAAATTCAGGAACCAATTCTATTGATTTCAAATCTTAAGAGACCAAATTCAGCAACAATTTCTGGATAAAAAACCGAGTTTTGGGTACTCCTCCCTTTGAACCCAAGTTCGAAAAGACATGATCACAACCAAACGTAAGATGAATTTACTATAGAATATCGGCTAAAAATGTTTCATTAGCTTCAATAATGCGCATCCTTTTTCACCTGTTGCACGATCCACCCAAATTATTATGCCAAAACGTGGGCACAAATTATAGCTTGGGCCATATTTTTGTCTAGTGTTGGACTTTTATCATTGGCTTGGTTTTGGCATAACATGCCCTCATTTCCTTATCCGGACAAACGCTGCAAATTTGTCATTGACAACTCAATTGTTTTCATCTCCCGACCAACTTTGTTTTTCCATGGTATTCTCTCCCTGGTCTACAAAGCTGTCACATTTCTTTCGATTAAAATGTTGTCGGGTGCGCGTCACACCGCACCTAACTCTGTCTTTCTCTGGCCGTTGGATGGAACAAATCAAAAGAAAAGAAAACCGAGGAATATGATTACGAAGAAAGTGCAAGAGGTAAAAAAAGGATAGCCAAAACGTAAAACTTTAGATCTTACATTAGCTCCGGTAAAGTTTTCGCAACTGTAACGCAACACACGATGATGTGAAATTTAACATGCATCTTGTATGTGCGGATGAAATTAACTATGTGGGCAATTCATCTGGGCAATACAAACAATGAAGCGATAACTGGCGCAGCCATCGAACCACTGGATCGAGTCACAGAGGACACAGAACCACTGGATCGAGCAACAGAGGACACATATAGTAACGATATTATGTACAATTATGTCAGGACCTAAGTTGAGACAGTTCAAGACTTGAAAGCATATACAATATTCCTCAGAAATCTTCAGAAATTCACAACGGGCAGAAAAATACAAAACCCATAGCGAAGCTTCAAAACCATAAGTCTATCCTAGCTTGTGTTTTCACCTTTGGCGTTAATATAGACCCGCAAAATCACAACCTTTCTATACACCATGTCAAAAACAGTTTTCATAGTATTTTCTCTATTTTTTTTTTTTTTTTCTTTCTTTACCTTGAAATCTGGCTGTCAGTATTTTGTTTTAGCTGTCCTCTTCACTAAACTAGACTGTGCAGCAGCATGGTTAGCAACACGAAGATTATAGCCCATCGGGTATTCAAATAGGGAGCAGAAGAGGAAAGAAATATAGTGGGAACCTACTAAGTGCACTGTTCCACTCTGTTCATCCTGTACCTTAATACTCGATGAGCCTGAAATTGACCATAGAAAAGTTCAGATTAGTAAAAAGACGAGAAACTCACATTTGACAAGTGTCTAAAACTGTCTCTGGTAAGTAACCGGTAAGCCTAATTAGGATGTACTCATATTACTTGAACACAGAGACATTGAGAACAGAAAATAACATGATACTCACAGTTATACTCGGTCCATCCAATGACTTGATTCTCAAGATCATATAGGACTAGCTTGTTTGAAAGTACCAAATCTGCAAGAAACACTTTAAATGATCAAGTCCACCGGGAATTTCATGCAACTCTCTTGTGTCTTGCTCGTCTCATATATCATGTCATTTTAAACTTTATAAAGCTATAGTTACCCAGTCTTTAGTTGCATTTGGAGATGATTCGCTTATACTGAAGATTAACCATAATTACTTATAATACTACACACAATAAGTGTGGGAAAGTTGGCTATATTTATGATACATGGAATCGTAGTATAGAGCTAAACCCAAATATTATTCTTTATTAAGCGAAATTTTACATCAAATAAAAAAAATGGACATACGGTCTAATTGGTACATTTGGTTCAATTGTTCCATTAGAATCCTCAATTCCTCATTGGCATCCCAACACTGAATCTATGATATCATCTTACCCTAAAGTAAATGTTACTATGAGAATCACAAGTATCAATGACTACTAGAGCAACGGTGTGAGTCAGCATGAACTGTATTACAGTCCTTAAGTTTCAAAAGAAAATTTCCATATTTTCCTCATAAGTTTTTTTTTTTTTTTTTTCTTTTTTCGTTGAGTGTTTACCAACACCTTCTGATCCTTAATATTTTTATAGGCACTTTGTTTTTGTCCATCCTTCCTTTTACATTCCCCTTTCGTAATAAGTATTTGTTTCTTATCAAAAAGCAAAATAATCAAGACACCCTTATGTGACTCCTCTATTTACTAGATTTCTCGTGACTATAAATCTTTAAAAGAAGAATTGATATTACAATTACTTACAATACCTAAGAAAGTCTTGCCTTGAACTTCGGAGTATAAGCTATAACGATTCTAGACCTTTTATTTTGGAAGTTCTATATTTACTCAAGAAACTGAAAAGTCACTCCTTAACACAAACTAAGAATGAGACATTACCTCCCAAAAGAGTCAAGTTCTTCCTATCCCTTGATTGTATCCCACTGTTTTGCCAACCAATACACCAAAAGCCTTCCTGTAGAATAATAGATTATAGTGGAACAGAAATAAAAAATTATCAAAATGAGAGGGCAACAATACTTGCATTAATAGCTCAACCAATATTTATCATATTTTAAAAAACAAAAATAGTAGCAACTGAAGAAATATAGTAATTGTTGGCCTTTTTTAATTTTTTAGTTGGAATCTCCCTTCGATGGACAACTTGTCCGGTTTCCTCAGCATCCTTTTCCTCTTTTCTTTTACAGGATTGCAGTTTCTTATAAATAAATTAATAACAATAAATTTGATAATTGGTACCACGGGAATAAGTATGCTAGCTGGGCCCATAAACTAAACACACAGAATACTAAAATCCAAAGCCAATTAGTTGGTAATGATATGAATGCAAAAACAAGCTAGTAATACGGGTAAACCTGAATAAGAATTAAGAACAACTTATCAATAAAGCCTGAAAAAAATTTCAGTATAATATACTTACGTAAGGGAACAAATAGTCATGTGGATAAACCTTCAACGAAAGTGAATTTTCAAAGTAAAAGGTGACCACAGGAAACCCATCATCAACACTGCAATAAAAAGCAAAAGGTACAAATATCAGGGAAGCGTCCTGCACTATACAATTTATTTATTTTGAATAAGAAACACAAACATAATGGACAAGCATTATATAAAAGCTAAAAACTGCCGGTCGCTTACCAAATTACATCTGTTCCAAATGAACAAGTTCAAGATAACGAATATATTGATTTACATCCACACAAAAACAGATTTACTTATATCCATTTTAACATTTACGGCTGTGGCATCCCTTCTAAACTTATTGCGTCTTATCTGATTCCAGTTAGCATTTAAGCATCTTATATAGAGATCCAATCAGCATTTTCTCTCTGGAATAATATATCACTCCAGACAAATCTTAATCTAATGACTCAAACATTCAAGATATTATAAATAATCAAAATTCAATAATATATAACTTTCTTATCTGCTATTACTCCTAAAAGAAAATTCACAATGGAATACACCATACCTTCCTGGATACTGGAAGCATGTATACTCTCCGTGAACAGTTTGAACATTCAAATCATTCTGCTGAGCGATAATCTAATAAGAAAGCATTTCATTCAATACTGATGTAAATATTCACAGATTAAAAAAAAAAAAAAAAAATCATATTTATGAATGGAAAAAATGAATGACAATCTCCAAAAGAGAAGGTTCTTGCATACCACATACCTTACTTACTAAGGGCTGATAAATCACATCCGGAAGATAAGCCAATGTCGTACCACTGTCAATTATTGTCCCTTTTCTATCTCCCGCTTCAAATACATCTGTTGGAAGACTTAGAAAAGAACGGCCAACTTGAACTGCTTTCATGTTGACGTTGTAGTGCGACCTAAATTTTTATAACAAATTGCAGCTTAATTTTCCAACAAAAGAAGAGCATTTTTTTCTGGTGACATTCTCATAGATGCAATTGAAACATATTCTACATTTGAGAAAATATAGAAGTAATAATATTTGGTACTTCTTATAAGGTCCTTGAAAGCATTTTTAGAAAAGAAAGGGCAGTGATAACATAATGTTAAAAGTCCTAATCCTAAAGATAAGAAGATATTAGACATGTTTCAAAAGAAAATATGAATAAGATATAGTACATAGATAAGTTTTTCTAGCCCTTTTCAGTCTTCTTTGTTTTATTGCTTTTGAATTACTATAAAATCAGAAATTATCTTCAACAATCTAAGAGAATGGTTGAATTGAATGGCTGTTACAGTTTATAATATTTACAAGTTTGAAAACTTAATAAGAATAAATGTTTGCACTTGTTGTTTGACTTCTTAGGAAGCTTGGCTTTTAATCTGAGTCATATTATAAGTCTGATGATTCTCCTCTAGTTTTATACATACCTAACATGC